CTATTTCGTAACGTAGACCGCCCTTTCATCGTTCTAGGACGTCTCTATCTCTCTCTCTCTCTCTCTCTTTCTCTTCTATCTGGCTTAGCCGAGGGCCAGCGTAATTAAGCTCTCGATTGAAAAATTAATCATCGCGTATCGATTTCGCGTAGGTTGATATACGCAAGCCGCGAAAAAAAAAAAAAAGTACTAGAAAATACGCGAGGAAGATGTACGAAAGGTAAAAGGAATGAGAAGGAGGAATTGAGAGGATGAGTTAAAAGGATAGTAGTATAGGTAGTATGGTTATTTTATCCATGCTAATGTTGGCATAAAAGCTCTCTCTCTTTCTCTCTCTCTTACGGTGAATCCGAAGGGTCTCTCTTTTTCTCTTTGATGTTTCATACTCTGACGTAATCGATCGTTTTTTTCTCTTTCTCTCTCTTATTACCTTTTCTATTTCTATTTCTATTTATTCCTGTCAATGGAATGTTTTAGCTTCTTACTTACGTTAATTACTTACGCGTTTCGCGTAAGGTCTCATTACGTATAGGATTATAAAGACAATTATGAGATAAATCATATTATATACTTGTAATAAAATTGAAATAACAAAAATTATACACACATATAATAAGTTTATTACAACACGTTTATTAATAATTTCTATTCGTATCTTTACGACAATTTTGACGTTGCGTTATGTGAATAAGAAAAAATAACGATATAATTTGAACGTAAAAAGGAAAAACGTTTTATCGCGAAAATAATAATAAAAAAAAGAAAAGAAGGATATAAAGACGACGACGACGACGACGAAAGTATAGTATATATATATATACTACTAGAGTAATAGTAGAATCCACTGATCCTTATTTCGTTTCTAAATGAAGTCGAGGCTTTACCAAGGGAAAGAATTAAAGTCTCGTTTTCTCGTTGGCAGTCTTTCCTCCGTTGAACGATTTTCTTCTTGGCTCAGACAGGAAAGCAAGCCAGCAGAAGCAGCAGCAGCAAGTAGTCAGCCAACCAGACAGCTAGTAAGCCAACCAGTCAGTCAGTCAGTCAACCAACCAACCAACCAACCAGTTAGCCAACCAACCAACCAACCGACCAGCCAGCCAACCATGTCCTTCTTCCATCCTCATCCTCACGAAATCCCAATAATCCACGATGAGACACAGATTGAGTCCCCAGGACTCTACAGGGTAGAAAAAAGCGAGTAGTAGGAGTATCGCTAGAAAGAAGAGCTATGGATACAGAAAGAGAGAGAGAGAGAGAGAGAGAACGAAAAGGCGGCAAGACTACCATAGGGAGAAGAAAATTGAAATCCTTCCGGGACGGAGGATGATAAAATTGCGGATGGGCAGGTGTTACCGTAATCCGGATCGAGAAGAACGATGGACCGTCCAAGAACGAAACGTATATATATATATAAACTAGTATTTTCTGTAGATGCAAGGATATATATTCGTGGTGTGGTGTATATGTGTGTTTCTTCTTCTTTTCTAAGATTTACGAATCGCGTATAAGAGATTAAAATTCGTTTTAACATTTCATCTTATTCGTAGACAACAAATTCGTCTGTTCTTCTTTAACACACTATCTTATTTTATTTATATTGTATTATATACTTTATGCATACCTTATATCGCTTGCGCATAATGTTTTTAATCGATTGATAAATATTTTCCAAAGGAGATTCCGATTATAAATCGATTTCATTAAACGACTCGAAAGTTTAGTAAATTCGAATTGATTTAAAACAAAACTTCTGATATTATTAACTAACATAAGTAAATACATACAAGCTAGTAGCATTACCTGTTCATTTCGATTAATTAAACGTGAACAACATTTGTATAGATACACCGACATTCCGATTCGAGGTTATCATTTAACATGATGCTCGTCCGTATATCTATGTCGATTCGTGTAAGTTGATTTCTCTTTGAGAAGTATTGGAGGAAGGAAAGGAAAAATTGTAAGGAAAAAAAACAAGAAAAATAAAACTAAAAAAAGAAAAAAAAAGAAAGAACGGGAAACGATACGGGCATGGTCCGCTAACGGGCCACGATTATTTTAATCCAGCTGCGAAAGAGGAGAAAACGGCGGGAGCAGGACTCGTAATTTGTTTCGAGATCGTATCTTCAAAGTGGCTCTTCGTCCTCGTCGATGGTAGAAAGAGGGAATGAGATGATTCGAGAGTCACTTGGTGAGAACGAGAGAGAAGAAGAAAAAAACTGAAAGAGAGAGAGAGAGTCGCGGAAACACCGCTCGACAGAAAGGACGAAAAAAGAGATGAAGAAGAAGAAGAAGAAGGAAGAGGTGGAGGAGGAGGAGAAGGAAGAGGTGGAGGAGGAGGAGAAGGAGGAGCCCTAGGACCATCTCAATCTGTCCACTCCTCGTAATCACCGACGAAAGGACGAGCCAGGATTGGTGATTCCCCTTGTCTTCGCGTCTATCACGATTTCCTTTTTTTTCTCTCTCTCTCTCTCTCTTCCTCTCCCCGCCGCCCTTTTTTCTCTCTCTCCATCTTGTTCCTTTTCTTATTTTCTTCTTACTCCTCGTCGTCTATCTCCACCACTACCACCAACCAACACCAATATCAGTAGCATCGATATTCCTGTCTTCTTACCTTCTTGTTTTGTTTTCTAATATTTTCCCTTTCTTATATTTTCTTCACAAACTTTTTACCAAAGTCTTAATAAAGTTGACGTTAACTCGCGCACGATTATTTATTTAAATTCGTCATTTCGAGCTAGTTAGACTTCTATCAGGATGGATAAAGGTATTCGTTAATGTTAACGATTAAATTGATCGATAGTGAAATGATTCATTCGGCGACTTGATGAGAAAGATATAGAAAGAAAAAAAAAGAGAGAGAGAGAGAGAGAGAAGAAAACAAATAAATAAAAAAAGGGATAGGAATACCTGGAGAGACATTGATTTCGATCGAAGTAAAAACGAAAAGTTTAGGATCTTCTCGAGGAATTTTTTTTTACTCGTTCATCGGAATGGTTGAGATGGTGCGTTTCAATGGAGAAATAAGAAAGATAGAGAGATAGAGAGAAAGAGAGAGAGAGAAAGATAGATCTGTGAATCAGAATCACGATCGTTCCTGTATCGTATATCGCGACATATCGCATCGAAGGATCGGTGTAAGCCGGTAGCAGTCGGTTTTCACGGCATGGTCTCGGAAACGAAGAGAGAGAGAGAGAGAGAACGAGAGAGGAAGAGAAAGTAACAGCAAATGCAACTGCAACAGCAACTGCAGTAACAGCAGTAACAGCAACGGCACACTCGATGCGCACAATTAATATCGAGCCGTATCGTCCGATCTCTCATTATTACCTTGGTGGCTTGGCAAACGTGTGGGTGTAGTCACTCCCATAGACGAAACACACGCACAAATAAGTAAACTTACGTATGTAGGAATAAACGCAGGGATAGTGGCTACCGTACACCCCAGGACACCAGAGTCGGCCATGTATCACCTTAACGAGCCGTGCATCGCGTGCCGATCTGTATTAAGGATTTATAATCCCCCGGACCCCGGAGAACTCCTAATGTCTGACCAACCAGCAAAGATATTTTCCTTCTCTCCGATTCTTCGGCTCTACCACGGTGTTCACTTCTCTTTTCTACCTTACTACACCTTTTCTTTTTCTCTTTCGTGGAAGAGAGAAAAGGCCCAGGACAGGTGGGCACACCCACGATGAATTTTTGACGATGAACCAGCAGCAGCAGCAGCAACACCACCACTACCACCAGCACTCCAAAGGTGCGAAGGGTACATACTAATAAATCGAGAATGATTCGACCACGATAAAATCAAATTCGAAACTTACACAGGTAGGTAGGTAGGTAGGTAGGTAGGTAGGTATGTATCGGTTGGTCCTATATAAGAGGATGATCAAATTCCCAAACTCTCAGAAGGGATATAGAGAGATAGAGAAATCTCGAAGGATGTAGAACACAAGAACGGATTCCACAGGAATGGGAGGGAAAGGGGGTAGAGTAAAAAAAAAAGAATAAAAGAAAGACAGAAGAAAAAGAAAAGAAAAGAAACATTAAAATCAATGTAAGGAGTCGTTGTAGGGTCGCATTCCAGGCTAAACACATATTAATTAGCTGACATACGGGCAGGAAGACATAACTCCTGGCCCAAAGGATGGGCCCAAAGCTGTCGGCTCGCGCGAGATCGTGCCCCGCACTCTTTCCGAGTCTCGTGTTACGTCTCTACGGAGTCGATGGGTCCGATTCGAGTCCTTCTTCCCAAAGAGAGAAAGAGATATAGAAGATGGGCCCTTTCCACTTATTTCTCTCTCTCTCTCTTTCTATCCTTTTTGACGTCGCGCGCGCGAGAGCAAGGAGCCGCGGGTGGCCCTTGCTTCTCCCTCTGTCTCTCTCTCTCTCTTTCTCTCTCTTTCTCTCTCTTTCTTTATTTATTTCTTTCTTTCTTTCTTTCTTTCTCGTAAGCAACGTACGTGGGCTCGGAAGAAGATACCGAGCACGACGCTACCGTCGCATTAATAACACTGGTAGCCGGTCATATGTTAAACGTCCACCGACGGTGGCCGTTCCACCATGGAAAGAGGAAGAGAGAGAAAGAGAGAGAGAGAGAGAGAGAGAGAGTACCTACCACTTTCCTCGCAAAGGGACAGACCTACCTTCTACCTACAGCAATGTACTTCTTCCTGATGACGCGCTACCGCACTAGCCACCATCGCGAATATTCTTCCACGCTCATTATATTTTTCTCAAACGAAATTGTTCAACAACAACAACAACAACAATAAAAAAAGGTCGTATTCTTTCTGATCCATTCGATCATCATCGTCATCGATTAATTATTATTATTATTTCGTCGACGTTTACGAATATTCTTAATTGTTTTTTCTTTTTTGTGTGTGTTTCCATTCGTTCTTCTAAACGTTACGCAAATGTTTCTCTCTCTCACCATTATCGATATTATTAATTTATCTTTGTACCATTTGTTTTTTTTATTATAATTGTTACAGGTATCAATGCCCGGAGGAAACATACAGGATGCCCGTGGATTATTATAGTGCGAGATCTACTTCGTCAAGGAGATATTTCGTTAACGATTAAGATGCACCACTTCGAGTTCGACGACGAGTCCCGGAGAAGAAGATTGAAGGAAACGAAAATGAAGAAAAAGAATAAGAAGAAGAAGAAGTAGGAGGAGGAGGAGGTGTTGTGTGTGACGAAACGAACGATATAATTAAACGTATATACGTATGTATAACGTACCTCGGGTGATTCGATTTAATAGATTATATATATATATATAAACGATGTAAATATCGGTGTGCAATAAGTCGACACTTCCTCGTTTATGATAGGCGAGAGTCCTTGTTATTATCACCGTTACGGTTAGCATTACGAACCATTATCGTTACCGGAGCATCGCTTATCATTATCGTATCTGCCGTGAGAGGAGGAACTCGTTGAATTATTCATGCGGCGTTTATGACGGAACTTTTTTTTTTCATCTTCTTTTCGTTAGACTTCAAGTGTGAAAGATAGAGAGAGAGAGAGAAAGAAGGGGTAGAGGAGGGGGGGGAGAAGAAGTACTATACGTACAACGAATGAAAAAGGGTCGCGCGAGTCTCGGGTAACCGTTCGCGAGTTTCGTTATAAATCATCGCATGACGTACGTACATACGTTAACTCAAATATTTCTTTTATTTTTAATTGTTCTTCTTCTTTGTCTTTTCTCTCTCTCTCTCTCTCTCTCTTTTTCTTTTTTTCTATTTTTATTTCCGTTCGAATTCCTTCACTCGCGAAAGAAAAATCCTTTGCATATCGAACAAGCGATGCGACGATTCGGAAATGACCGGAAAAAGACAACACATATTTACATATTACATATGCGTTTACACACACACACACACACAACACAACCATTCTCTAACATATATATATATATGCGGAAAGAAGAGTTGATGAGAAATAGGAGAACACACATTACACGTTAATAGCGTCTTCGTGTTAATCTGTATATTACTTCTGTAAATAAATTAATCGTGATATAAATCGGTGCGAGTGATGCGACACACACACATATTTTAATTATCGTTTGATTATTATTAACATACCGAGTTTTAGTATCCTCGGCCTTAGCGATCCGACGACTGTCTTACACACACACATACATACACACATACAATTGATATAGATTTATGATTATTAAGTAAATAGTAATGTAGTAAGATTAGTAGTACACGCTCGTTGATTTACGAGGAACGTTTCGTGTAAGCCGATCCTCTCGAGATAAATCGTTGAAGATAAAAGCGTGATAGGTATCGATTTTTACTCGAGGGAGATCGATTTAAATGAACGAGCTGCAGCGGCGATAAGGTGTGTTACGTAAAAAAAAAAAAAGGTAAAAAAAAAAAAAAAAAAAAGGAAAAAAAAAAAAGAAAAAAAAAAAAAAGAAAAAAGAAAATAAATAAATCGGGAGAGAATCCGATTCCCCGATTGCAATAGAATGAAAACGAATGATTGCCGAACGTACGTATATAGTAAATGACACATACATATATATATATATGTACGTAAAAGTAACGATCAACGAAACAAAAAAAAAGAACATGCTTTTCGATCCGTGAGTTTAATTAAAAAAAAAGAAAAAAAAGAAAAAGAGTCAACGAGACGCGTGAGCGAGCGAATTTAAGCAAATTTTTACCTCTCCTGCGAAAATGACGTTCGTGTCGTTTAAACAATCCGCACGTTTGATCGCAATAAAGGCCGTGCAAAGAAACTATTTAGACGAGTACTATTTTACCCCTTTTTTCTTATACTATTAATTACCATTTCCAACAATTTTCATTTCAATAATCCTTATTCTCTTTCATCGTGGTGAAACTTCCGAAAGGATACTGATCCGTTGAATGCAACTTTATTACTTGCTGATGATGATAATAGGTAAATATTTTATGCACGATTCTTTTTTTAATGCTACTTGTGTGTGTGTGTATGTGTGTATGTGGCTAATTAGTATAGATATTAATTTACAATAATTTATCATTTCGTGTGATTATTATTGAAATGTTTCTATTATTTAAATCTGAAGGATAATCATCGTCGAACCAACGTGTATCGTCTTTTCACCAGGCGTCAATCACCCTTATCCTTTATCTTCTAGATCTAGTCTATCCAGCTAGTAAATTGGTACACGCGTGTCACACGTGCGATACGTGCAAGGGTTACACTGCCGACGATACGGGAAAGACGATGGATTGGGGGAGATGCTCGTTACGTTGACATGAACCAATAATTACGTAAATAATCAACCGTAAATTTGATTAAATATTTCAAATCAAATGTTTATTCATTGCGTTATCGATATATTCAATTCACGCGATATAATATATTTCTTTTCTATTCTTATTTCGATAAATTTAAATATTATCAATACTTGTAATCAATTAAAGAAACGTCACAAAATTACGTTAAACGATTAGCGTAAAAAACAAAGTAATTCTAATCAAACGAGATTACATGAATTCAAGATCCTAAAGATTTTCATTCAATACACGTATTATAATTAAATACAATCAATTCTTATCATAAATTATTAAACGATAAATGGTATATCAAAAATGATTGGTAAATAGGTCTGTTCTCGTTAAATAGGAATTGCTTCTCTTAAGAATAAAAAGGACGAATCATCAAAAACATACTTCGTTCGAGGTAAGTGGGAGAAGGTGAGTCAACATTAGTCTAGATACCCGAAACGCGTTCTCTGGTGCATGGTGGTGCCGATAATTGCTTAATTGACGTGGGGTCGTTGATAACCATCGGTAAGTGTATTAACTCGGGCAGGTTTACTTCGGCTAACCCATGGAAAAAAAAAGAGAAGTCTATATGAAAAAAGAAAAAGTAAAAGAGAGAGAGAGAGAGAGAGAGATAGAAGCAGAAAGAGCAGCTCGAATCGAGAGACTCCAAAAGGTATTTATGTATATATATGTGTGTGTGTATATATGTATATAATATACGTGGTGGTACGTCAGCCAAGGTGTCTTTTCTCTCAGCGAACAAGGCCTCGTTGTAGAAAGGCGTTGGAACCTCTGGCAAAGAGAGTCACGATCTTCTTTCTCTCTCTTTTTCTCTCTCTTTCTTTCATTCGTACTCGCGGTTTCGCTCTTGACCGATACACCATAAGATATTAGAGATGCGAGATAGCTTTATTAAAGGTGAGACGATGCCAGTGAGAGACATCACCGAGTACCGGTCGCTTTGATCACACGCATTATGGTGACTGTCCCCTTCTTCTCACTTCTCTCCATTTTTATTTATTTCTTTTTTCTTTTCCTTTCTTTACACCCTTCCGTTCCGAAAACTCAATCTCGTCGTCGTACGAGGAGAGACACCACCTTCCTGGCTTCGATTTCCAATCCTCGCCCTTTTTTCGATTATCAATGTTTTTTTTCGAAATTCGTTATTTAAATTGAATATATTGTAATGAAAGTAATTATAACATTGTTGGTTGTATATAATAATAATTGTGACATAAATAAATGACTTTAAATAAAGATAATCTATCATCGAGATTTTATATCGTTCGACGAAAAATATATTATATTAAAAATTTGTGTTTGCTGTTCATACGTGCGTTTTTAAAAAGGAATATTTTCAAAAGTAAAAATTTTACAAAAACGATTCCATTATGCAGTTTCAATGTTAAAATTTTCAACACCAATAAACCCATGAACTTTTTTGGTTCATCTTAATAACAACATATTATTTATTGGGTTCCATCTTACCATATATAAATAACAATAGGAAAAGATCGACTAGCCATAGATGACGCGATGACAATAGAACCAACATGGACATAAATAGCAAGATCAGTTCTTCCTCGGGCACGCCTCCGATTAAATTAGGAATGCTTTTTTGCCTAGCAAAAAAACTGATCTGAGTGTTTTCTCGAGTGGGTGTCGGCAACGGCAGCCGTGCGGAAGTTCAACGCCAAACTGACGAAAGTGTTAGTTGCAATCTCGTTGTTGCAACCAACAAAATGATCCCCATTCAAATCTGTCTTCATTATTATTACTTTTGAATCTCTTATTTCTATTATTTCGGATCAAAGTGATTAATAAATACAATATCAGACTAACAAGCCATTTATTTTTAGTTTTATCCTATTTAATAAATATCTTATATATTTTTTTAATTTGATGAAATTCATAACGTTTCAGTAAAAGTAATTCATAAATAAGTTAACTGATAATCAACAAATTGGCTTCTTTTCTTTGTATTTATTACAAGAACTTAAGTCTGTCAAATTTAAGTTTTTCTAATCCGCAAGTTTTATCTACAAAAGTACAATGATTTAGATATTAATTAGCGTTGGAAAGATTCATTTGAAATGTGTTATAAAAACTTAGAAATATTATAATTAAAAATAATAATAGATTAACGAACACCACGAAATAAATATATCGATGAAATGTAGAAGATAAACAACGTTTAAGATTCGTTATAATATCACAATAATATGAATATCTTTTTTTCCATGTATAAATAACACGAAAATGTCGATTAAAAGTAACAGGTGAGTGACCGAGTGAATGATAGATCGAAAATAACGATAATATAGATATGATTATTGTTATGAGGTGAGGAATCGAAAGCAAAGCGACTTTGTTACGGGGTCAGAAACAGCCGTTCTTCTTCGACGTGATCCATACTTACATTACTTCTTATACTTGGGGATCGTTTTTACGTGTCGATCATGGACAAAAGATCATGATCCATCCTCTCGCGTTAGGAGATCGAGAACGTCGGCTTGCAAAACCTGGCGACTTACACTCTCCTTCGCAGGTTTTCGATTCGATGAGAGAAAGAGAGAAACAGAGGGATGAGAAGAAATGTGAGAGGACGGGGGGGTGCGTGGTAGGAGGGGTGGGGGGGGGGAATAAGGGTTGTATTTAAGATAGAACGAGAGAGATAAAGAAAAAAAAGAAAAAGAGAGAGAGAGAGAGAGAGAATCGATCGATCTCTTTTTTTTTCTCTCTCTCTCTCTCTGTTCTCCTACGCGTCTTCGTTGAACTGTTCTCCTCTTCCATTGGCGAGTCATCGTGTAATGACGGTGCCGGCTGTCAGACCACGAGTCCAGGATTCGAAGGCACGAAATGATCGTCGAACGGCGGCGGTTCAGGACTATAACCGGCACCGCCTCAACATTTGATATCTCGAACGTCATCTTTACAACTGGACGTATTCGTCGGTTGGATTCAACTTCTCGGAATCTTATGTGTTAGCAAGATCAATAACGAACTAAACGATTATATGATATATTTTTTTGTTCTATTCATATAGATACTCAAAGAAGAAATTTATATTTCAAATATATTCTCGTCTACCTATATATTATAATATAATATATATTTATGAAATTTTTTTTAATTATATTTCATAATAATTATGATGATCGATCAATTTTTATTCGTGTTTGGTCACTTTAATATAAAATATTCGAGTACGCGTTCGCGTTCTTCTTTCTTTTCTTTTTTTTTTTCTTTTCTTTTTTTGAAGACATTCTCGATCGTTATCGGTGAAAGCACACCACGAGCCACGTAAGTACAGGTACTTTCCTATATAGATACTTCAATTTTATTATCTTTGATGTTTACCTACTGTGTTCGAAATTCAATATATAAAAAAAAAAAGAAGAAGAAAGGTAAGAAAAAAGAAGAAGAAACGATTACTACGAAAATTGGATGTTTCCAAGGCAAGATAACGTTCGGTTGTTCACGTTTATGGGGGAACCTGTAATTTAGGAATTAAAGTCTCTTTCTCTTCCTTTCCTTCTTTCTTCCTTTCTTCCTTTCTTTCTTTCCTTTCCTTTCCTTTCCTTTTCTTTTCTTTACCTTTTGCTAATTTTTTCAAGATACAATCGACGAAAATTTTGCCAGTACGATACGAGGCAAATTAGATTGTATGTATATATAAATACAAAACAGATTAAAATAATATTAACGAGATTAATCAATAATAACCATTTACAAATGTGTTAAATACAATTTAGATCGTAAGGATTTTCGTGAGTTCGGCGTGAAAAACTTTATATCACGAAAGAAGAAGATTGCGAACAACCATAAGATTGGAATAGACTCGAAGACCATTATACGACTGTTAGGAAACCAGCAATTTCCGAATTAGAACCAGTCACGGAACTCGAGATACAGGTATCGGGGCTTCACAGGTGTGGCTTTTCGACAGTCTCGTATAATACAGGTGCATGCAATCGAAAGTAAATATTTGAAATTTTTTTTAATACATTACGATAGATGTTTCTTCTTCTTTTTTTTTTTTTTTTTTTTTCTATCTATCTTCCTTCCTCTTTTTCTTTTATTTTTTCTCTTTCTTACATTATAAGATGAAAAATAATTCAGGAGATCGATGTTAAAGTATTTCATACGTTAAAACGTGTATTTTTTCTTTATATACAATATCGAATAAAAAGGAAACACTTGAAATGGTAGGATTTATTTGTGCATCGATTTCAATTTCGTAGTATAGTTGTTTATGAAATGAACTGTAGAACTAGCTGAGAGATGCATAGTCACGGGCTACCTGGGCTAGCACGAAGTGTTGGAACTTGACTCGGGACCGGGCCGATCATGAGGTGCGAAGCCCCGACGGGTAGGCTGATCAAAACATCTTATTAGAAGGAACACTTATGTAAAAAAGGTGAGAAAATGTCCGAAGGGCTCTCAAATTACTATCTCTCCCTAAGATCTTAGCTCGTTACATTGT